GATCACAAAGTACAAAATAGATGAGGAAAACTAGGATGCCGGGTGTATTCAAAGCGCCGCCATTACTGTCTACAGTGCGTGGATTGGTTAAGCGGATATATCGCATTCTGCAGAGAGGGGAGACTGGGGTTTGTTGCGGTTCGGAAAGAAAGGGAGAAAACATGGCAGAATAACTCGGCGGATATCACATTTTTCGTAAAATTAAAAATTGACTTTTAAATACCGACCAGATACAATACTGATTTTGGCGGAAACTCTCATTTTTTTTTAAAATGGGGTTTATCGCGTTTTGGAACCAAACCCTTCATATATATATATTAGGGCTGCACGATTAATCGCATGCGATATTTAACGCGCATCTTATGAGTAAAGCTGGTTCTGTAATCAGCGGTAAATCTCCTTCACCTGCGTGCTTTCACATTGAGCAGCATTAACTACACACGCGCAAGGTAAATAAGGGTGACATCTAGTGGAGAAGACTAATGATAAGATTCACGTTAATCAGATCTTGTTTTAAATATGCTGAAATAAATCCCGGAAAAGATCGATTCACGCTTTTGAGAATCGAATCGACGTCATTTAAAAAAAAAACGATTAATCGAAAAATCGTTTTTTTTTGCCCAGCCCTATATATATATATATATATAAAATACAAAACACAGTATTACTGTTTTTAGTGTTTTTTTAATCAAATAAATGCAGCCTCTTGACTGTCTTATTGCTTTTAAAAAATAGTGGCAACAGCAATATGAATATGCATATACACAAATACAAAAAAATTACCTTATTATAGTGATGTCAAACGATTAATCGCATCCAAAATAAGTTTTTGTTTACATAATGTGTGTGTACTGTGTATATTTCTTATGTATATATAAATTCACACACATGCATGTATATATTTAAGCAAAATGTGTTACGTTTATATATTAAATATACTTATATATATATATATAATTTATATGGATACAAATATATATTCATCCAGTACAGTAAAATTCCCATCTAATGGGAATCTGAGTCTAAGGTTTAATTATACTTGAATGTAAATACTATTTATATTACTTGCATCAGATCAAATGTTTTACTACAGATCTTTATTGGAAAGTTTCCATGAGGTGTGTTCCTTTTTCTTCTTTTTACTTTCTTTTCTTTTTGCATTGCCTTTTTTAGTTATATATAAATACATACTCATACAGTATATATTTAGAAAATATTTACATGTATTTACATGTTTATATTTATATAAATATATTTAATATACAAATATAACATTTTTCTTAAATATATACATGCATGTGTCTGTCTTTATATATATACATAATACATATACACAGTACATACACATATATTATGTAAAATAAACAAAAACTTTTATTTTGGATGCGATTAATCGCGATTAATCTTTTGACAGCACTAATTAATATGTAACTAATTATATATATATATATATATATAAACGTTATGATAGTGTTTGAGTCGGTGTCATAACATATCAGTTTCGAGTGTAAACAAAAGGCCGCTGTGTGTTGTGTAGCAGCCATTATTACATTACCCTCTGTACATCTCCTCCTCCAGATTGTTTCCGTGTTGAGGATCTGCCTGAATTTCTTGCACACCAGCGCCAGGTTGGGCAGCGCAGTGCCGGGTAGAGAGGAGAAGATCTCCACCAGGAGCTCCGGCGGCAGATCCAGCAGCGACTGCGGGTGCGGTGGCCCCGCGGAGGCCCCAGACCCGAGGACACCGGCTCCGCTGCTATGACAGCTGCTGCCGCCATCGGGCTCGTCTTTCGTTTTGCCCACGACCCTCTCCTCTTCCTCCTCCTCGTCCATGTCCATGTCGGAGTCGCTGTCCTGATGCGGCTGGCTGTGCCTCTGCCGCCGCCTGCAGCGCCGCGACTGTCCCGCTCCGCAGAGCCTGGCGCACACCGCCATCCGGAGCAACATTACATCATCCCCGTGCAACAGCCGCTGCGCTGTCCCCCGCAGTGCTCCGCTGCTGCGTGCGCGACGTGCCCGGGCGTCTTCTCGTGACGCCGACGCGCAGCTCGCTGACGCCGTACGGCTGGACGTCACTGCTTACTTACAGAAGGTTAGTGCCATCATGTATTTTTTCTGTTATCATGTTCAGAATAAGAGGATCATTGTTTTCTTTACTTCAGTGCTCAGGTGATGCAGAAGTGTTCACACCTGAATGTGTTCAGCAAGATGATGAGGACAAACACGAGACTATATACAGATTTGGAACACTTATGTTTTTGTAAGAAGGTATGGTGTTACATTTCTGAGTTTAAACGTTCAAATGAATTAAAATATGTCTATTATTATAACATAATTTGTACTATCACATCCTCACATAAAATGGCTCTATTATTATCTTTCCAATTAACATTTCTCATATCCAGCATTTGTTAACCTTTGCATATATTCAGGTCTGTTTGTTCCATTTGATTGTTTTGCCTTAGTATTTTTTTTTTTTATCTTTTTTTTTTTTTATAACAGTTGATGTTGTTATTTGTATTTGTTTGCATGAATTTTTCCAAAATCCTGATTCAAACATCCCGTTTTTTCTTTTCTTTTTGCATTATCTACAGTATTATGACATAATAAATAAATATGCAGGCCATTATGATTTAATAACATGAAAATATCCTGTCTTTCAGGTTTGTGTGTCCACATGCTGGTCGGTTTCGTTGCAGTCTGACCAGTCTTGTGTTTCAGATGGAGGGTGAAGGAGAGGTGCTGTATAGAGTTGTCTCATGGGAGCCTCGTTTGTTAGTTGGTTTTGAGCGGATGAAGCCTGCAGGACCCTTGTACAGCACTGACTGTTCTAATGGTTCAATCTCAGGACTGCACCTTCCTCACTGTGAAATATTCTCTGGTAGGTTTATTTCTACATCCACAATATGATGGATGCATATAATAACAATTCTCAAAGTTTTAGGGGGCTATCAATTGTCAGTTTATTTGGAAAACTTGTTGAACATCTGTATATTAACTAATAATATTAAAGAATAAGCCATGATTCTGTGTGTTTTGCAGAGGAAAATAAAGACAGTTTGGCTGTAGCACATTGCACTGGTGGTAATGTAGAAATAATGAAGCCTCTCAAAGTGAATGAAACTCATGTGATGATTGACATCAGAGATCTCGCCCTATTTGGGCTCTTAAAAAGAGATCTTTACTCCTTCCCCTGTCGCTGCCCAAAGTGCTTCTCTTTCTGCGACCAACAACTGCGAGACAGAGAGAAAACATTCTGGATGTCCATTTGCTCCCGTTGAATGTTCCACTGTCAGAGGAATCAGTAATTTTTTTTTTTTGTGAAAATGTGTCTTTCATTAAAGGGGTCATATGATGCTGCTAAAAAGAACATTATTTTGTGTATTTGGTGTAATGCAATGTGTTTATGCGGTTTAAGGTTCGAAAAACACATTATTTTCCACATACTGTACATTATTGTTTCTCCTCTATGCCCCGCCTTTCTGAAACGCGTCGATTTTTACAAAGCTCATCGGTCTGAAAAGCGAGGTGTGCTCTGATTGGCCAGCTATCCAGTGCGTTATGATTGGCTGAATACCTCAAGCGTGTGACGGAAATGTTACGCCCCTAACCATACTGTGATGCCGTGTCCCGGTGCGACGAGACAAAAACATTAAAACCCATTATAAACGAGAAAGTTACGCCTTCTTTCTCTGCGTGAACATTTGGGCGGTGTTATCCAAATCTTCCCACATCGTGATGTAGATATGTGTGGACGTGTTTAAACGAGGCGTTTTAGGAGGCCGTGGACAGTCTTAACTTTTATAAAGAATATCTCTTTGGGTTTGAGACTTTAGTCTTAGCAACTTTAGGGATCGTATCTATTCACGAACAGCTTGTAACACTCCAAAGAGAAAGGAAAACTTGAAATCGCATCATATGACCCCTTTAACACACTCTGATTCATATCAAATAGCCATAGTTTCTCTATTGAGAGACAAACATTACTAAACTGCTTTGGAACATATAGAAGATACATACTTTAAATGACTGCATTGTTAATATATGGGTTCTTGCTTTTTTATATTAGACAGTGTAAAAGGGGAAATCCCTGAAGTGAGAGAGCAGAGCACTAAAGACTATTTAGCCTAGTACCTATTTGAGGATGCTTTTTGTCAAGATATTGGAAGAAACCATTTTACCTCTGTTGCCTCTGGTTTTCATATCTAAAAACTGACAGACTTTTTCTCCCTTAAGGTCAAGGACCAGCACACAGATAATACACACATTAAAACCAGTTCAAAGTGCTCTCTCACCCCGGGATCAGAATATTCTGACTTTATATCTCGCAATTGTGACTTTATAACTCGCAATTCTGGCTTTATATCTCGCAATTGTGACTTTATAACTCGCAATTCTGGCTTTATATCTCGCAATTGTGACTTTATAACTCGCAATTCTGGCTTTATATCTCGCAATTGTGACTTTATAACTCGCAATTCTGACTTTATATCTCGCAATTGTGACTTTATAACTCGCAGTTGTGACTTTATAACTCGCAATTCTAACTTTATATCTCGCAATTGTGACTTTATAACTCGCAATTCTGGCTTTATATATCTCGCAATTGTGACTTTATAACTCGCAATTCTGGCTTTATATATCTCGCAATTGTGACTTTATAACTCGCAATTCTGGCTTTATATCTCGCAATTCTGACTTTATATCTCGCAATTGCGAGTTTATATCACAATTCTGTGATTTTTATTTATTTATTTTTTTTTTTCAGTGGCGGAAATGGGCTTCCATACCCTCCTGCTCACAAAAGGCTCACAGGTATGAATTCATAGATATACAGTATTTCAATTAGCCTAGTTGTTTGTTCTTTCTATCAAACACAATCCCTTCTGGAATGTAACATAATTATTATTTTACTTATTCATTTATTCTTTTTTTATCAGAAAGTGACTTTGTAAACAAAGTCCCAACACTCTGGACTTTGTTTACACCACACAGAGAGGAGCTTACAAGGGTATAGTTGTATTTTATACTTAATCTGTATATCTGTATTTATGTTCTACTGTTAGTGTTATCTGTATGCACCAAGGGTCTGAGAGTAACGCAATTTCAATTATATGTATGTATGTTCTGTACATGTGGAAGAATTGACAATAAAGCAGACTTGACTTGACTTGAAGTGGATTTGTGAAAAACACAGAGATAAACTCATTCGGAAAGTTTTATCAGTGATGACTATTGCTGATGCTCTGAGGACCAAAGACATGATTCCAGGTGAAATGTACGGTAAAGTTAAAGAAACACAACAGAAGAAAACAAGACTCTTGTTGGATGTTCTTGACTCTGGAGGAGCTGCTGTAAAAGCAGAATTCTACAGACTGCTGAAGGAGGAGGAACCTCATCTAGTAGATGAACTGGAGTCTGGACCCAGTGAATGAATGAATGAAGTGCCATGGGATTTTTTTTAATGACCACAGAGAGTCAGGACCTCGGTTTAACATCTCATCCGAAGGATGGTGCTTTTTACAGTATAGTGTCCCCATCACTATGGGGACCTGCATTAGGACCCACACAGACCACAGGGTGAGCACCCCCTGCTGGTCTCACAAACACCTCTTCCAGTGGACCACAGTAATGCTGAGAAAACACCAGAGAGGAACTTCAGTCAGTTTGAGACGTATAATGGCAGCAAGAGCTTCTTTATGCATGTGTACAAGAGACATCCAGATGCCTATTTTCTTAATTTAGTTACAAGATTAACAAATTATACGTCTGGTTTGAACTCCACAAGTAAAGCCTTATGATCATGCTCTTCAGCATAATTTGAGAATGATCCAAAGAGCATCTTGTGCTTCAGTGGAAGCAAGAACATCTGACCATCTGTACAATGCCTATTTAATATAACTGTGAAGTGCAGAATCTAAAATATTTGTTCATTTAATGTTTTAACATATTATTATCAATTTCTTTGTTTTCAAAATCCTTAAACTCTATATTATCCACATTTACATTTTAGATTTAATTTGAATCCTTGTATTTGGTCTCTTCGTGTACTGTAATATGCTTACGGTTTACTTTGTGTAATCAATTATCTGTTTGTCTGAACAATGGAAAACTAGAGTTACAGGATTGTTAATGTTTACTTTGGTAATTACAATAAAGCTTAAATAATATAAAATGGAAATATTACATGAAAGAAATAAAGGAACAGTTAACCCAAAAATGATTTGGAGAAATTCAGCAGAACATCACTTGCTCAGCAATGGATGCTCTGCAGTGAATGGGTGCCGTCAGAATGAGAGCTTTTTATTCACGTATTGCGCTCAAATTCTATCGATATTTTAAAATCATGTATTTTTATGAATATTTTGTTCATCTCTGCTGTTCCGTTCATGCTATTTTGTGCAGGCTGAGGTCGAAGACACTTTAAAGAGAATTCAGGGCATTAATGGTGTTATTGGCACAATCGTCGTTAACGCAGAAGGTAAACTGAACTATTTACCATGTTTATTCTGTAGTAATATTACATGAATAATAAATAAAATAATAAAATTATAAAGTAATATCATTTCCCAAAACGTTACATTGGATAAGCTAATTTAATAAAATTTTAGGAATAAACTGGTGTGGATAATAATATAATATAATATATTTACATTACATTTACATTTAGTCATTTAGCAGACGCTTTTATCCAAAGCGACTTACAAATGAGGACAATATATATATATATATATTATACACACACACACACAAAGAAAAACAAGTAGATAGAATAGAAAAAAATAGAAAGTGTTTTTTTTTTAAATAAAAAAAAGAAGATAAATATAGATAAAGTAGAATTAAAATAGAATAGAAAGTAATAAACTCCACATAGTAATAAACAATTATGGATATAATATAATATATGTCACATAGCTCCACAAAAGAATAAACAAGTATGGATATAATATAATATAATATAAATGTCACATAGCTCTACATAGGAATGAACTAGTATGGTCATCAATAAAGAA